TCTATCTATCTATCTATCTATCTATCTATCTATCTATCTATCTATCTATCTATCTCAGCTGTTTTACGTCGCCTACCCCGCTCCCGACGAAAAAAATAAATTAAATAACTCGCCCTCGAGTCAGTACAAGTAAGCACAAGCGATCACCATTGAGAAAAAGTCACGTGCATCCTCCCCAAGTACCAGTCAGCTGACAGTACAGCATTCAATATGGTGACTCGTGCAGCAGCGCCATGACAGGGCCGTGACACAGCGATAGTACACTATCTACTATCAGTAATCCTTGCTGCATTATCTCTCGTCGCCTGTGCATGATAAAAGGGCCCATCAATGCAAACTGACCTCAGCACAGACCGCCGAGCTCAAATTTGAGAATATTTAGAGAGGCAGTGGGGGGGGGGGGGGTGTTATGTTTTAGTAGTGAGAGTTTTATTTTAGTTTTAATGGAGGTTTTACGGCGCTCGCAACTGCATAAAAGGTCATATGAGCGCCAGAAGATTAGAGGAGTTACAACAGAGTTTAAACAAACATAAAAAGAAGGGGGAGATAAGGACGACAGACGTTTTATAGGAAAAAAGAAGCAGACCACACCAGAGCACCCGCCAACCAACCACAATTTGAGGTTTACACCACTTGCGACTCAAATTGTTTTCGTTTTAGTAAGTTTTACGGCACTTGCAACACAATACGTCATAATATAAGTGCTGAAGACTAGATGTCTTACAAGAGAATAGCAAAAAAAAAAAAAAAAAGAGAAGAGATCAGGACGTTTCGTTTGACAGGAAAGAAGGAGCAAACAACACCAGAGCACCCGCCAACAACCCACTAAAGTTTGTGTTTGCTTTGTTTTGTACACAGAAGCACATCGATACCATAAGAACACTACAAGTATTTAGTTCAGGGCAACAGAAAGCTGGACAGGCAATAAAGAGAGAGAGAGAGAGAGAGAGAGAGAGAGAGAGAGAGAGAGAGGGAGAATACAAAGAAGTGAGACAACCTAGAGATTAAAAAGACCAACCTTTCTGGACAGTTTGTCAAAGCATTAAGCGAAAGCTGTTTGACATTTTCAAGAAGAAAGCGGAATCGCAACCCAAAAAGATAATTTCTTGCGGTTCAAAAAAGAGAGATTACCACCTTCAAATTAAAGTTTGACATCGAGCAGAGAGCCTTCAACAATTGTAATTCCTCCCCCAGAATAGATACTGGATAGGGAAGAAAAAGTAATGATTTATTCTAAAAAATGAGAACAACATTTTGACCCCTCTCGGGTTCAAACCTCGAACAAGTGTGTGTATATCAGTGCTAAATGACTAATGGTAGGACGGTGGTTTAAGACAATGACCATACCTGAAAACCGTAACAGGTATCTGTGTGGGCTTATCACCTTTTTTTCAGACTGTGTTATTGAAGAGGCAGGGCCTCTGAGTGTAACATCTTTTTTCGAAAAGGCCGAGCAAAAACAAGGTGTTGAAAACAAATAAAACAGCACAACACAAAAAACAAC